CACCCAGGTGCCCCCTGTTCTTAATTTTTGAAGTTCTGATTCAAAATGCTCTTTCATATCTTCAAATGCTTAAGTCTGTTTAACTCTGTTGTAGGTGAGTTTTCTTCTCCTTTGTAGTTATTTTTCTGGGTAAAATTTACTTTTGTTGATAGGTTTGGAATAAAATTAGAAATTAAAATTATATGTTTATTTAATGTATAAGTATATTATATATTTACATAATGCATACTATATTTGTGTGTTGTACAACTTAGCGATAAAATTAAAAATTCTGATTATTATATAACTTAATTATTATTATCATTAACTCTGGATTTATTAGTTTTTCTCTTGTTGGATTTTGTGGTATGGAGTGTTTCATAGATACTGTTTAATGGTGCTCTCTTCTGTCAGTACAGCAATGTCCAGATATTTTAGTAGATGTTTTATGTTTGTTCTGTGCTGATGTGAGTTGGAGGGAGTTAAGAGTTTTCCAGTTTTGTGGTTCTTTTTTGTCTTGCAGAACTCTTAAGTTTTTACCACTTGCTCCTTCCCCACCCTCTTGTCTGCCCCTTACCACTGAATTACTGAAAGACACTCTTACTCTTGTTTTCCTTGCCTCTCACAGAAGCTTCTTCAAATTGCTTGGCTCTAAAGTCCCATCCTTATAGTCAGTGTTCTGATCTACCCGAGTTCTTTTTGTAGACTTTTCAGTCTTAGAGTGGTTTCTTCTTCCTCATTGTGATTTATACTGGTCTTAATGTACTGTCACTAGTTTCCATCTATGTCTTCTATGAAATTTTTCTCAGTCAGCCCTGCAGGGGCAGGAGCATGACACTTCACTCATTAGGATTGGGTGATTGCCCCCTTTGATTCCCATTTATTTTGAAATTTGGACATTTTCTATCTTCAAGATAGGAGAGCAAAGGGCATGGCTTTTATGTAGAATCATTTCCTTTCTTGTTCTGTATTGTTTTGGGAGAAAATATTGGGAGATAGGAGCTAGGGTTCACTAGTGTCTTTAATTATCCATAAGTCCTATTGATTCTAGTTTATTTTCCAAATGCAGATATGACTATGTTCTCAACCACATAGTATCTGCATGAAAATTCTAAAAAAATAAAAAATAAAAAATAACACGACTAAAGAAACATGTTTGACTCATTAGGGATTAGATGAGGTAATGGGAGTACCCTGTGATGGGAATAGTGCCCTTATAAGAAGAGACACAGGTGAGCTCCCTTTCTGGTTGTGCACACTCACAAAGAAGTTATATGAGTACACAGGAAGCCAAGAGAAGAGATCTTAAAATGAAACCTACTTTGCCAGAACCTTGATCTTGGCTTCCCAACCTCCATAACCATGAGAAGTAAATTTCTGTTGTTTAAGCCACCCAATCTGTGGTATTTTGTTAGAACAACCCAAGCAGATTAACACACAGGCATATACACACATTTGCAGATATGCTCACACTCATATATTCCTTCTCACAGGTTTATTTATAATAGTGAACAGTTGGATAGGTGAAAATATCTCTTATTAGGGGCCTGGGTAAATAAGTTATAACAGAAAAATATTGGAGTACCCTTCAGTCATTAAACATAATGTATGTTTTTATTTATTGATGTGAAAAATGCACATAATAAGTGAAAAAAGCAGTTTATGATACAGCTCACAAAATTTGTTCCATTTCTAGTAAAAAAAAATTTTTTAAAGGAAATATACCCAAAATGTTAAGAATAGATTCTACTGGGTTTAGGATTACATGTAGTTTTTATTTTCTTTTATGTATTTCTGTGCTGTCTACTCTTCACAAATGACTATTATTTGTATAATAAACATATTTTAATTTGTAAAATGTTTTAGAACAATGAGTAGAAAATTTTTATATATGTAATTTTTTTAGGAATACACGTTTTATAGTAATTCTGGATTTAGTTGTATAAGAAATAAGAGTTGAGGTTTAAAGAGTTGAAGTTTAAAGGCAAACCTTAAATAGGGTTGCCAGGTTTTTATTTATTAAATCTGGCATCACTATCTTATTTTTTTATTTATTAAAAAAATTTTTTTTACATTTATTTATTTTTGGGAGACAGAGTACGAGCATGAGTGGGGGAGGGGCAGAGAGAGAATGAGACACAGAATCTGAAACAGGCTCCAGGCTCTGAGCAAGCATTCAGCACAGAGTCCAACGTGGGGCTCAAACCCACGAACCATGAGGTCATGACATGGGCTGAAGTTAGATGCTCAACCAGCTGAGCCACTCAGGCGCCCTGGCAGCACTATCTTAAAGCAAAGTTGGTTCGCTCTGTATATTTGAGATTTTTAATGTGTGTGTGTGAGAAAGAACCCTAGTGGGTTTTTTTACTTTTTTAATTTTTTTTTAAAGTTTATTTATTTTGAGAGAGAGAGAGTGAGAACACATGCAGGGAGGGGCAGAGAGAGGGAGAGAGAGAGGATCCCAAGCAGACTCTGCATTGTCAGTGTGGAGGCCAGTACAGGGCTCGAACTCAACGAACCATGAGATCATGACCTGAGCCAAAATCAAGAGCCAGCTACTTAACCAACAGAGCCACCCAGGCGCGCCAAGAATCCTAGTGTTTTTTAATGTGCAAGAGAGGACACTGAGGCTCACAGAGGTTGATATTCTCCTCAAAGTCATCCAGCAACTCAAGTAGCCATTAGGATCACAACTCAGTTTTGGATGCTTCTTTCACACTGTCTTGCCTGCCTTCCATCCTTTTATTTGTTTTAGCCTGATAAATGTTGGCTCAGTTCATTTAAAGTGTTTGTAGGAGTTGTGCCTAAGCAGTGTTATCACGTTGTCTTTAATCCAGTTCTAAAGTTCCCATTAGAAAATAATACCATGTGATATGTGTTGAATGTAAACAGTGTAGTACCTGGCCAAATTGCTTCATCTAGTTATGCTGTAGAATTCCTATAGTTTTGATTGAAAAGTAGACCTAGGCAAATTTCCAATTTGTTTAAAACATTAAAATACTTATAGTGTGAAATAATTTCTAGTTTATAAGTCTTTCCTTAACTGACATTCATTTTTAGGTGGAAGAAAAAGAAGTAAACTTTCATTTGAGAAATATATTTATATCCTTCTCCTGAAGGGTTCCCCCCTTCTGTGGACTGTATTCCATAAGGATCTTTTAGAACATTTGGTAAACATTTAGTAGATATAGATACCAGGCCTTCTAATAGGCAACACTACTGAAATATCACCAGACAGCGACTTTTGCCTTATGAAAGTTGATTTTTTAGAAACTGATTAGTATAAAGGATAAGAGTACAGTTTCTGGAGTTGGCCTTCAAGGGGCTTCCCATCTCTAATCCACCGACTCTGTGTGTCAGTTTCTCAATACTTCAGTTTTATAATCTGTGAAATGAACATAATATCGATGCCACTTCACAAGATAGTGGTTGGAGTTACATTATGGTAATATAGGTCAAGCACTTTTAATAATGCTTAGCTTATAATAAGTATAGCATACATACCACTGTTATTATTTTAGCCAAGTTTTAGTATCATAAGAAAAAGTAATTTGAGAAGACAGTATATGAGGTATTAAAAATGATTTTCATCAATATCTACTAAATGTTCTATTGAGTAGATAATACTCTCTGGCTAGAATGGTACAGATAATCATTGGATGTTTAAATTTGTACTTTGCAAAAAACAAAAATGGTTAATTATGCTAGAGTATGGAATCTTCTTTAATATTTCTTTAGCATAACAGAAATGCAAATAAGCTCTCTTGTAGACTATAATTTTTAGCATTCAAAATTGTCTACAGCATACTTTTTTTTTTCAATGTTGAATTATTCTGTAATTAGTGTTCAGGGTCTACAAAAGAACATGTTAATATACAATCACATATAAACACTGAAGTGGAAGGAATTTTCTAATGTATTAATGTTTATTGGAGATTATATTTTCTGCCCTTTTTCAGTATCATTGACTTTTCCATTTAGAAGACATATGGAAGATGCCATGTTAATCACTAAATAATGTTACTCTGGGAACACATTAGGAATATGACTCACCCTCACCCATAACTAAATGAAGATTGTACTTCATACCATTAACAAACATAAACTAAACTAAATTAGTTTAATTTAGTAAGCTAAATTAAATGTTTTGTATTTTTAAACATAGATACAATTGACATACTATTTTCAGGTAAACAACATAGTGATTCAATATTTGTATTGCAAAGTGATCACTGTAATGAGTCTTGTTAACATCCATCACCATACTTAGTTACAAGAAAAGTTTTTTCTTGTGATGAAAACTTCTAAGGTTTACTCTCTTAGCAACTTTTAGGTATACAATACAATATATTAACTAGAGTCCCTATGTTATACATTATTTTATATGTTTTATAACCTAAACGTTTTATAGATGAGAGTTTGTACATTTTAACCCCTTTTGCCATTTCACGCCCCCATAATATACTTTGAACAAACTGCACATAAATGAATGAAGGCTGTACTTTGGAACATTAACAACTATTTTCTTCTTCTTCTTCTTTTTTTTTTTTTTTTGAGAGAGAGTACGAGTAGGGGAGGGGCAGCAGAAGGAGAGGGAGAGAGAGAATCTTAAGCAGACTCCACATGCTCCCAATGCAGAGCTCAATCTCACAACCATGATATCATGACCTGAGCTGAAATCAAGAGTTGGATGCTAAACCGACTGAGCTACCCAGGTGCCCCTAGGCCTTAAATCTTAAACTCTTCAGGGCTAATTTAATGATACTTATTTTTTAATGGGCTCCCTAACGTTATACTTTGACTCAAGGATAGAGAGTTATTAAAACATACTGTTCTAAAGTGAGTGGATTGGACTCTATCTACTTTTAGCCATTATCTCGATTTTAGCTAAGCACCTAGCATTCAGTCTAGAAGTGTTTGATTTATTATTAGTAGTAGTTCTTTAATAAAATAGCTCTGTATCATACTTTTTAAAAGATTCTATTAAATTTTTAACTATATTTTAATAACCTTCCTCTAAGGTATTCCCATCTGTCAGCAGCACTTAATTTGGAATAACATGGAACTTGAAGATGATTATTGCTTGAATGATTACAAGTGAGTGTAATTACATATTAGCTGTTTTATAGATGCTCAGTATTACAACTCCATATATTAGTGTTTTCCTTCTGAATCCTTGGATCATGTCTCTTGTGAATAGTTCTGACCCCTAGATTTAAAAAAAATGTTTTTTAATGTTTGTTCATTTTTGAAAAGGAGAGAGAGACAGACCAAAAGTGAAGGAGGAGCAGAGGGAGAGAGAGAGAGACACACAGAACCTGAAGCAAGCTCTAGGCTCTAAGCTATCAGCACAGAGTCTGACTTGGGGCTAAAACTCACAAACCGTGAGGTCATGACCTGAGCTGAAGTCAGGCGTCCAACCAGCTGAGCCATCCAGGCGCCTCCTGATGCCCAGATTTTAAGTGTAAATCCTGAATCTTAAGATGTGTTGGCTTGGTACTCCATACTGCTTGATCTTTATCGTTTGATTCTGTTTTACCTTTTCATTATTCACACCAAGTTATGTATCCCCTGTCTTTTTAGATCTCTCTCTTTTGATCTTGCCTTCTATGCTCCTTTCTTTTAATATTGACCCATTCCTACCTGACTTTCTTATTTTTTTTTTTTCTCATTTTTACAAGAGTATTGGGTAAGAATAAAAATCCTAGAAGAGAGCACGGGCAGTAATTTCTCTGACGTTGGCTGTAGCAACATTTTTAGGTATGTCTCCTGAGGCAAAGGAAATAAAATAAAAAATAAACTGTTGGGACTACATCAAAATAAAGAGTTTCTTTTTTTTTTTTTTTTAAATGTTTCTTTTTGAGAGAGAGAGAGTGAGAGTGGAGGAGAAAAAGGGGGAGAGAAGATCTAAAGCAGACTCTGTGCTGACAGCAGGGAGCCTGGTGTGGGGCTCAAACTCACGAACTATGAGATCCTGACCTGAGCTGAAGTTGATGCTCAACGGACTAAGTCACCAAGATGCCCCAAAATAAAGAACTTCTGTACAGAGTATAGTCAACAAAACTAAAAGGAAACCTACTGAATGGGAAAAGATGTTTGCAATAACATATCCAATAAAGGGTGTGTGTGTGTATCTCCAAAATATATTAAAAAAACTTACAGGGGCACATGGGTGACTCAGTTGGTTAAGCATCTGACTCTTGGTTTCAGCTCAGGTCATGATCTCATGGTTTGTGAGTTCAAGCCCTGCATCGGCCCTGTGCTGACAGAGCGGAGCCTGCTTGAGACTCTCTCTCTCCTTTCTCTCTGCACCGCCCCCCGCCCTCTGTCTCTGTCTCAAAATAAATAGATAAATTTAAAAAAATTTGGGTGCCTGGATGGCTCAGTTAAGCTCTGACTTCAGCTTAGGTTGAGATTTCGCAGTTTATGGGCTAGAGCTCCACACTGGGCTCTGTGCTGACATCTCAGAGTCAGGAGCCTGCTTCACATTGTATGTCTCCCTCTCTGTCCCTCCCCAGCTCACACTCTGTCTCTCTCTGTCTCTCTGTCTCTATCTCTCTCAAAAATAAATAAATATTAAAAAAAATAAAAAAAACCTTCTACAGCTCAACACCCCAAAACCAAATGATCCAGTTAAAAAATAGGCAGAAGATATGAACAGATATTTCTCCAGACATACAGTTGCCAACAGACACATGAAAAGATGCTCAACATCACTCATCAGGGAAATACAAATTAAAACTACAGTGAGATATCACCTCACACCTGTTAGACTGGCTAAAATTAAAACAAGAAATAATAGGTGTTGGTTAAGATGTGGAGCAAAAGGAACCCTCTTGCACTGTTGGTGGGAATGCAAACTGGTGCAGCCACTGTAGAAGACTGTTTTGAGGTTCCTCAAAGAATTAAAAATAGAACTACCTAACAATCCAGTAATTACATTACTGGGTATTTAGTCAAGGAATAAAAAATACATATTCAAAGGTATGTGCACCCGTATGTTTATAGCAGTATTATTTACAACAGGCAAATTATGGTATCAGCCCGTGTCCATCGGTAGATGAATGGGTCCACACACGCACATCCACACATGCATGTCCACACACAAATGGTATTCAGCCCTTAAAAGAATGAAATCTTGCATTTGCAACAACATAGATGGAGCTAGAGAGTATAATGCTAAGTGAAATAAGAGAAAGACAAATACCATATGATTTGATTCATATGTGGAATTTAAGAACAAAACAAGTAAGCAAAGGAAAAAAGAGACAAAATCAAGAAATAGACTCTTAACCGTAGAGAACAAATTGATGGTTACCAGAAGGGAGGTGGGTAGGGGAATGGGTGAAATAGGTGAGGGGAATTAAGAGTATACTTATCATAATGAGCACAAAGAAATAAATAGAATTGTTGAATTCACTATATCGTACACCTGAAATATACTAGTATAATACTGTGTATAAACTTTACTGGAATTAAAAATTTTAATTAAAAATAATGAAAAATTAAAAAACACTTGATAAAGAGTATTGGGGAAGAGAGTTTTGTTCTACCAAATCTTTAATTTTTCATTAAACCCCCCTTCTGCTACTAAGTGACACTGTGTGCACTAGTGGTTACAGATACACTATTTAATTTTTGTCTTTCTTGCTCTCTTCTCTTACATAATTCTTCACCCTTTTCGTAAGAACAAAAAGGTCAGAGGCCATGCAGAATATCTGGAATAGCACTGGAATTCTGGAGATTTCGTAGATTTGCTATTTTTCAACTTTCTGTTTTATTAAATAGATCTGTTTTCTAACACTTTGGGTCTTGGACAAACTTTTTTCCTTAGGGCCTTGTTTTCTTTACATGTGAAGCAAAGGGGTTAAACTACATGATCACAGAGATCCTTTACAGTATTTTTATTCTGAGATGTCATGTCATATTTAAAAATTATAAGGACTTCTTCACTTTTTCATTATTTATATAAGTAATTAAGTTAACATTTTATATTTATACATATTGCTGTGTATTTTTTTTTATATTATAGAGGGTAAGTACTATGCCTGATAAACTAGCACATAATTATGTGTATATGTAACACCAAATCCACTTCAATGATTATGGTTTGTTTTTGTGTTAACTATCCACAGCATTTCAGAAGGTTGTACCTTGAAGCTGGTATTGGCTATGCGTGGTGGACCTATAAATACTAGAAGAGGTAGGCATTTGTTAATTATGTATATTAAAGCAAGTTGACAATAATTTTTAAGCCAGTTGGCAATTTTATAGTCTCAAGTTTTATCAGATTCTCTTTCTGCTGTTAGGTCTTAGAAGAATGACATTTGTGTTTCTAAGCATTGTTCTTTAAAGCCTAAAGCCCCAGTATTAGGATATTACTGTATTAAAGTAATTAATTAATTACTTTATAATTAATTATTTTAATTACTTTAAATTAATTTATTTTTAATTACTAATTAATTTAACATAAATTAATTAGTAATTAATTATAAATTTCACCAGTATAGGGAAAGGAAACGGAATAGTGTAGTGTAAATATGTTGTTATCATTGTGTTTTAGGTTCATACCAGTTTGTTGCTTTTTTTTTTTTTTTTTTTACCCACTAAGTCTTCAACTTTGGGTATAACGATTGTTATATGAAATTCTAAAGTTGCCTGTTAGCCTGGTTTGTGCCACGTTTGGGTTTCATGGATATTATTGTGGTTCTGTTGAATCCTTTTTCAGAATGTGGGCAGTCTCTGGAAGTCATTCATTTAACAATTTATGCATCTGCTAGGTGTTCAATACAGTGTTCCATGGAAGAAAAAAAGTTTCTGCTTCCTGACAGTGCTCACAATAAATATGTAAAGACATGATGCCATTCCAGGCAGTTACAAGCACTGTGGAGGAAATAGGGAAGTGTGACAGTGTCTGTGGAAATAGGGTAGAAGGAGGATGATGGTGGAAGAAGGGCCCTTGGAAAAGTTGACGTGAACAGAGACTTGATTAACAAGAGAGTTGTAAGCATGGGAAGAACTGGAAGTGTTCACATTGGCTCCTGATTGAGGTTTGTCACATGAACTCCCACCAAGAAGTGGGTCCTTAGACTGCTCAGAGCACTTCTGCTCTGTGGGCCTCATTTGGGGAAGGCCTTCATATTTGTTTAATCCTTTACTAACCCTGAAGACTGAGGCTAAGTATTGATTCCACTGCTGGTTTACCTCTTCCATGAGTCAAATTTTATCTCTGTGTCTCATAATTTTTATTAGATTAGGGATATTAATCGTATTTTTCCTAGTTGCTTTAGGAGAACTTTCTGAGATATGTTACTTTAGTTGTTCAACTACTTTGGACACGTTAGAAAAAAAACAAAGGTAGTAATGTTAGAGTTGATTAACTAGCACTCCTAATATCAGGGACTTTCTGTAAATTGGACTTGTAAAATTATCCTATGTAACATAAGGTGATATTTACAGTATCAACTCTGAAGGTAGTGTAAGAACCCTAAAATGTTTATGGAGCCATTATGGTAAGATAAAATTATACAGTGTTTAATGCCATGTGAATTACACTGTATTAAAATTTGGAAAGTTGGTATTTTGTATAGTATTGTCTTTAAACCAGGGTGTTTTATCAGAACATCTACTTTTCTTACTAGGACCAGAATTAGTTTATGTTTATGAGGAGAAGTATGAGTTACAGATTTTGAGTTAAAAATATACGTGTGTGGGTTTTGTTTCATTTACCTTTTGAAGAAAAGGAAAATGAAAGGCATCACTACCCTTTGATAGTGGAAGCTGTGTAATACTTTTCTCCCCACAACTTTCTGTGCCTTGTTTATAAATCCAAAAAATCAGCACCTAGAACTTGTCTTTTTTTTTACATTTTAAATTACATGTTTAATAATTTTGCTTTTATTGATTCAACCTCTTTAAAATTAAAAGCTTGCTGTTGTCTCCCTACATCCTTGAAAACTTTGTGAAGAAGAAAGATTCTACCCAGATCTTGAATTTTTCCATATTGTATTTGAGAAACAACATTTTTAATTATTTAGTCTTGTTTGAAAATTATGAGTTAGAAAATACCTTTGTTATGTGAGTTTCAGTAATGTTTAGCTTTTAAAATTATGTTTGAATTAATTGTTATCAAAAAAGCATAGAAAATCCTTTCTAAAACCAAATTTTATTCTATATATAACAATATGTTATACATGGTGAAATCGAAGTGGTTTTCCTGTTATGAAAAAGTGTATGCATACGCACACATAGATGCACACACACATTCAACTTCAGTGGCTCCTTAAATAAGGCATACTGTATTGATTTAAGTAAGGCTTTCACGTGCCTTTAGTAATGGCAGTAGCATTGATTTTATTACTTATTAATGTAATGTGGAAAGTGTAGCATCAACTTAAAAATGGCAAGAACTTGTTATAAACATGTCTTTTAATATTTGCACATTTTGTGCCTGTGCAAGAGTTGATCCAAACATGCAGATACTTTTACAAAATAACCTAAATCTTATTATTTCTAGTTTTTGTGTTTTAGTGGTGGTCATTAATTGGATTTAGGGTATGGGAACATCTTTGATGTTTTTACCTTACTTTCACAGTTTAAAGTTTCCTATTGCTATAATTTATTGCTTTAACTTTTATAGAGAGGGTAGCAATAGCACTGTTAACATCAAAGGTAGGGAATTTGAGAAATTGTTGCCTTTTTAAGAGCAAGTGTTTCTGCAGCTTGACATGAGAGTTTTGGGGAGCGAACTTTTTCCCCTGGAATCATCACTTAAATCTGGGGTTCAGAGTCTTTTAGAACATTCACCCTATGAGCTAGAAATCCTTTGAGGCTCTTCCCACCAAAGGAGCAGCATCCGTGGTTGCTGTGGACAAGAGCAGGTTGTAATGATGGCTACACTATCAAACCTGAGGACACCTCCAGGCCATGAGAGCCTATAGTAATGGGGACTCCCCTGTAGTCCTTGTGATCTGGACACATGGATACCTACCAGGACAGTTGGGGTCCTGGGAGGATGCTTTCAAGAAACAGCATACTAACCATAACACACACTGCAGTTTTAGTATGCTCAGTGATGCCCTTGTGTTCTGAATTGTTGTGGACTTTTAATGACCTAACTTCCTGTCAAGAAACTGCTCTAAGAATCTAAAACCAGAAGAAAAAAAAGGAGGGGTTCACTTGCTTCTGATTTCTAACATGTCTCCCAATTGTGTGTATGTGTTTATTTTTTTAATGTAAAGTAAATGGAATTTATATTGCTTTTAAATTACAGATATAACCAATATTGGAAAATACAGGAAGTAGATGTGTGAAATGAAAATAGTCATAGGTAATTATGTCCTAGAAACAGCAAATAAACAGACTCTTGTGGCACCAGAAAATACTGGTATATTTGGGTAAGCCTTATACATAACATCATTATAATGCATTTCTTTCATATTAATACAACATAGGGAATGCTGTATTAACTATAAAAAGACCAGAAACTTATTTAAAGAATATCATGTACTATATGTTCTATGCATAGACTTGTTGTTCCAATTAAACACATTATATCCTGTCACTGTACCAACATGCATTAAACTTGATAAATTAAATTGAAAGCTTGTTTGTCAATTTTTCTATTTGTAGTTCCTATGGAAGATCCACTTAAGGAGATGGCTGAGTACATGGATTCCAGTCGAGATGAGGTCTGGGAGAAGACCTCCTGCAACAAACAAGTTACGTTTTTGGTATACCGGGAAGGAGATCAATTGAATTTCTTTCGTGTAGTAGATAGGGGAGATGGCACTCTAACACCATTATCTGAATCTTTAAGGTAAATAGGTTTTCATTTGCATGTCTCACTTAGAAAAGGAGAACATTGTATGATATATTCATAAACCTCAGTGTTTGCTTTGTGTTGTCAAAATAATCTTATATCCACACAATGGACTAAATTTCATGCATTCTCCCTAACCCCCTGCCCCAGGTATGTAATTCTGAAATTGTTCTTCATATGATTGATATTTAGAGAGTAACTCATAAAGCTGAAATTTCTTTATGGAGTAGGATTTTTTCATATAAAAATTTATTTCTGTCACTTTATGAAACTCTAAGATGCCTACTAGATTATAGAGTTTTGTTATAATTGTGTCTTATTGTACAACCTTGGCATAATTGTTGAACCTAGAGTTGCTATTTTTGTTTTTTGATTTTTTCAAAATTTAATTCTACTGCTTAAAGGTAGTTAAATCTCTTCTCTGGTCTTATTTTACTATTCTGTAAAAGAGGGAGGAGTTGTTATATTCTAAACTCAGAAGGAAACAACTTAAAGGTACTTAGCTAGGCAATAGAACAGTTAGGAAATCAGACAAGGTAACCTGTGAGTTTCTGTGTATTCTGTCTTACTTTGATTCTTTATTGCCTCTCACTTTAAGTCAGTAAACATTTAATGAACTTTTATAGCCAGTCTGTACACTACCACTGGTGTACAAAGATAATTGTCCCTCCCTTCATGGAGCATACAATCTGCTATAATTAGTATCAATAATATAATCTTGACAATTGTAATAAAAAGATATCAACATCTTTGGAAAGCCAGATAAGAAGATCTTCATTTTTCCTGAAAGGTGGGGAGTTAGGGACAATCTCTGAGAAGAAGGGACCTTAAAAGAGGAATATGAGGTTGTTTTTTTTTTTTTTAGGAGTATGAGTTTTCTAAGTAAACAAAGGAAGGAAAGGTATTATAGGTCACTAAATTTAATCATACTTATTGTATTTTTTTTGGGTGTTGAATTGTATAACTTCTTTATATATTTTGGATACTAACACCTTATCAGATGATCATTTACAAATGTCTTCTCCCATTCAGTAGGTTGCCTTTTCATTCTGTTGAAGGTTTCCTTTGCTATTCAAAAGCTTTTTATTTTAGTATAATCCCAATAGTTTATTTTTGCTTTTGTTTCCTTGCCAGAGGAGACCTATCTAGAAAAATTTTGCTAAGGCTGATGTCAGAAAAATTACTGCTTGTGGTTTCTTCTAGAAGTTTTATGGTTCCAGGTCTCACATTTAGGTATTTAACCCATTTTGACTTTATTTTTGTGTATGGATAAGAAAGTGGTCTAGTTTCATTCTTTTGCATGTGGCTATCCAGTTTTCCCAGCACCATTTATGAAAGAGACTGTCTTTTCCTCATTGTATATTTTTTGCCTCCTTTGTTGTAGATTAATTGACCATTTAAACATGGGTTTATTTTCTGGGCTCTCTATTCTGTTCTATTGATCTATGTATCTAGTTTTGTGAGCTCCATAATATTTTGATTATTATAGCTTTGTAGTATATCTTGAATTCTGACATTGTGATACTTCCAGCTTTGTTGTTCTTTCTCAAGATTGCTTTGGCTTTTGGGAGGTCTTTTGTGGCACAAGTACCTAAATTTCATCCCATAGTATAAAAAGCTAGTGACAAAACCAAGCTAGAAAAAATAACTGGTAGTCTGGATCTGGAGTACAGTTTCTGTGGCTCAGGAGTCTAGGTACTGGTTAGCTGATTGCTGTCCTCTGGGTCTCCCAAATCTGCAAGCAAGGTGTTGGCAAAGATGGGCTCTTATCTGGAGGCTTGATTGAGGGAAGAGAATCTGCTTTCAGTCTCATTCATGTTGTTGGCATAATTCATTTACTCGCGGTTGTATGACTGAAGGCCTGTTTTTTGTTTGTTTGTTTTTTGGCTTTTGGTTAGAGGTTACCCCCAGCTCCCTTTTGATTAATTCAAAATCAACTGATTTGGGGCCTAAATTACATTGGAAAAATCCATTTTTGCCATATATCCCATTGACTAAAAGCAAGTCCTAGGTCATGTTCATACTCAAGCATAGGGGAGTATCCTGGGTATGAGCACCAGGGATTGGGAATCATGGGAATTTCTTTAGATTCTGTCCACCACAAGTTATGTGGAAGAAGGAATAGATTTATTATTTGAGAGCAGACTGTGACAAATGAGTATTGACTGTTGACTCTAACTTGTTAGGATCTGGTTAGCACTACAAAGCAGTGTAGTAACCATGTAGTAACCATAACCATCTAGGCCAGAAGAAGAGAAGAAGGGGAGATGAAGGCTACAGACTTAATCCAGTGTCTCTTACTTGGACCATGAATAGAATATTTTTCTTTTTCTCTTCTTTTTTAAAAATGTTTGTTTATTTTTTGAGAGAGAGAGAGCGAGCACAAGCTCGCTGAGGAGGGGCTGAGAGAGAGGGAGACACAGAATCCAAAGCAGGGTCCAGGCTCTGAGATGTCAGCACAGACCCTGATGCAGGGCTCGAACTCACAAACTGCAAGATCATGACCTGAGTCATGACAGAATTCAAAATATAAGAATGATTGAGTGTGTGTGTGTGTGTGTGTGAGTGTGTGTGTGTGTGTAATTCAGGTCCACTAAAGAGAATTGAATGATTTTTAGTGAAAATCCTCTCAGGATGAATAAAAATTCTGGACTTCGGTGAATTAATTTGTTTAATTTAATTTTTCATTATCGTTAACGGAATTCGGATCACCCTTTGGTCTAGGATTCATGGTGATCAGCCTTGGCTGATAAAATGAAATCAGTGCATTTTTGTGGAAATGGAGTTTGCTCTTGTGGGAGTGAGATAGCAGATGCCAGAAGACCTACTCTTGTACTGATTTAGCTGTGCTAGATTTTCAGTAATGCCGGATCATGATATTTCACCCTATTTAATTTCTCTTCTAAGAAATTATTTTTTGAAATACATTTGCCTTGAATTTACATTGACAGGATTTACTCATCTGTCATTAGCAGCATCTATAGTTTCTACTGCGCATAAAGTATTTTTAGTCATTGGGCAGGTATCAGACACGTCTCAATAGTAATTATTGTTTTCTTTGCAGTGGTGGTTCTGTGTATAATTTATATACTGATGAGGATGAAGAAATTGAGCCTTCTCCTTCTGGGCAACAGATAATTGAAAATTCAATAACTATGAATAAGATGAAGCTGCTGAAGGCTAAGATGGAGAACATGAATCTCAGCAAAAAGGTGAAGCTGTCAGCATTTGGCCAGGCTTTTCTCTAGTTTATCCCTGTGGGGCTCACAGCACTGAGGTCTGTGGGTAATTGTGAAAACAAATGATTTATAAAATACTACTCATTGCAAGTTTCTGGCCTCAGTTATTTATTGAGATATTAAAAGTGATGAATTGTTTTTTTAGGCCACCAATACATTTACTATGATATGCTGCACTTAAACTAATTCATGATTTTTTTAAATTTCAGAGGTCTGGTGCTAAGAAGGATAATAGAAAATAGCCTAATTTCAGTCTTCCCATAGTTACTTTTTAAAATGCGTTTTTAATATGTGCTTATTATGGATATCTCTTCTACTTGGGCTTTGATAAAGAATATACCAATGTTTAGCTTTACTAGATACTGTCAGTTTTCCAAAGTTATTCCAGAGTAATTGAACCAATTTGCATTCTGTCTAGTAGTGAATGAGAGTTACATGTACTCTTACTGATATTTGGCATGATCCTTCTTTTTTTATTTTTGTCATTCTGGTTGATGTATAGTGGCCTCACATTGTGGTTTTAATTTGGATTTTTCCGACCAATGAAGTTGAGCACCTTTCACACGTTTATTGGGTATTTGGATATCCCTTTTTGTAAAATGCCTGTTCAGATTTCTTGGGTATTTTTCTATTGAGTGTTATGTTTTTGCTTATTGATTTTTTTTAGATCTTTATATATTCTGGATATGTCCTTTGCTGTGTGTGTGTGTGTGTGTGTGTACACACGCATCTCACTACTCTGTTACTTTGCTTTTCACTCTATTAATAGCTCATCCCTTTTTCTCTCTTGAAATATATACACATAATAAGATTTACAAACTTTAATGTACAGCTTGATGAATTTTTACATTTATATATACTCAGGTAAGTACAACCTAGATTAAAATAGGACCTGTCTTTCTCTCCAGATTTCCTTATAACCTTTCCCTACTTTCAGAAATAACTACTTTCCTTACACTTGTCACCATAAATTAGTTTTGCTAGTTGTTGAACTTTGTATAAATGAAATAATATAGAATAGATTCCTTTTTTTAGTGTTTACCTATTTATTTGGAGAGCGAGCAGGAGCAGAGGAGGGGCAGAGAGAGAGGAAGAAAGAGAGAGAGAATCTTAACCAGGATCCACACTGCCTGGAGCATGACGTGGGGCTTGATCTCATGACCACGAGATCATGATGTAAGCCAAAATCAATAGTCAAATGCTTAACCGACTAAGCTACATAGGTGCCCCTCTTTTTTATTTTTGATCTAGTTTCTTGTGCTCAACATAACACTTTTGCAATTCATCCATGTGAGGATCAGTTCTTTTTTTTTTTTTTTTTACTGCTTTGTACCGTTCCACTGTATGACTATACTTCAGTTTGTTTCTCTCCTCTTTTTGACAGGTTGGGTTTTTTCTAGTGTTTGCCTTTCACAAGTAGAGGTGCTTTGAACATTCTTATACGTGGTTTTGGTGGACATAGCATTCTTTTATTTGAGGCATAAACCTAGGAATGGACTTGTAGAGTTATAGGGTAGGTATATATGTAGCTTTATTTACTATGCCAAACAGTTTTGCAAAAGCTCTATAATTGTTTCTTTCTCATTTAGTTATATAATCCATCCTTTTTCAAAACAATATAACGTGGGGTCACCTGGGTGGCTCACTCGGTTAAGCATACAGCTTCAATTCAGGTCATGATCTCATGGTTCATGAGTTTGAGCCCCTCATCAGGCTCTGTGCTGACAGCTCAGAACCTGGAGCCAATTCGGATTCTGTGTCTCCCTCTCTGTCTGCCCCTCCCCTGCTCACGCTGTCTTTCTCTCTCAAAAAATAAACATTAATAAGTTAAAAATATATAATATGAAGTAGGGTAAAGATAGTTTTTTCTAGATGGAGAACAGTCGTCCTAGCTCTATTGAAAAAAAATGTCTTTCCTCACAGTCTTAAATTTTTATGCACCTAATAACAGAACTTGAAATACTTAAAGCAAAAGCTACAAAGAGAAATAAACAAATCCATAGTTATTTCAGAAGAATTCCACACACTCTCAAAAAACTGATAGAAAAGATAGAAAATCAGAGAGGATGTGAGACTTGAACAATACTACCAACCTACCTGCCACAATTGACATTTACCAGAATGTTCCACCCAAGAACAGCAGGATACCCATTCTTGTTCAGTACACTCAGAACCATATTGTGTGCTATCACACAAGTCCCAATAAATTTTAAAAGATTCAGATTATACAAATAATTCATGCTATACTGGGATAAAGTGAGGAGTCAATAACAGATATCTGGAAAGTTAAATATTTTGGAAATAACACACTTCTAAGTAATTGATGGTCAAAGAAATCCAAAGAGAAATTGATTTGGCACTGAATAAAAATCTTCTGATAGTGTGGTAAATTTTTTTAAATATGAAATCATTCTTACATTCTTAGAATGAGCCACTCTTGGCTGTGCTGAAATTTTCTTTTTATATCTTTATATTTAATTTGCTAATGTTGTATTTAGGAGTTCTGTTTATCAGGGAAATTGGTCTGTAATTTTTTTTCTAACATACAGCAAAGTTGAAGGAATTTTACAGTGAATACCTATTTATCCACACCTAGATTTTATAATTAAAAATTTTTTAAAATTGTTTTTAATTGTGGTAAAAATGTACATTTTAAGTTAACATATAGTTCACTAGTGTTATGTACATTCATACTATTGTACAACCAAGTTTTATTTTTTTATTACTTTTTTGAAGTATTTTTCTTCTAAGATTTTATTTAAATTCAATTTAATTAACATATAGAGTAGGATCGGTTTTGGGAGTAGAATTTAGTGATTCATCACTTACATATAACAATCAGTGCTCATTACAACAAGTGCCCTCCTTAATGTCTATCACCCATCTAGCTCATCTCCCACTCCCCTCCCCTCCAACAACCCTCAGTTTGTTCTCTATAGTTAAGGGTCTCTTATGGTTTGCCTTCATCTCTGTCTTTATCTTATTTTATTTTTCCTTCCCTTCCTCTGTGGTCCTCTGTTTTCCTAAATTCCACATGTGAATGAAGTCATGTGGTATTTTTATTTCTCTACCTGACTCATTTCATTTAGCATAATACACTCTAGTTCCATCCCACATTGTTGCAAATGTCAGGATTTCATTATTTTTGGTAGCTGAGTTGTATATACGTATACCACATCGTCTTTATCCATCAGTTAATGGACATTTGGTCTCTTTCCATACTTTAGCTATTGTTCATAGTGCTGCTATAAACATTGGGGTGCATATGCACTTTCAAATCAGTAATTTTGTATCCTTTGGATAAGTATCTAATAGTGCAGCTGCTGGGTCATAGGATAGTTTATCTTTAACTTTCTCAGTAATCTCCATACTGTTTTTCAGAGTGGCTGCACCAGTTTGCATTCCCACCAACAATGCAGGTGGGTTCCCCTTTCTCCACATCCTCACCAATACCTGTTGTTTCTTGTTTTGTTAATTGTAGACATCTGACAGATGTATGGTGGTATCTCATAATGGTTTTGATTTGTATTTCCCTGATAATTGAAATGTGATGTTAAACATTTTTTCATGTGTCTGTTAGCCATTTATATGTCTTCTTTGGAGAAATGTCTGTTCATGTCTTCTGCCCATTTCTTAACTGGGCTGTTTGTTTTATGGGTGTTGAGTTTGATAAGTTCTTTATAGATTTTGGATATTAGCCCATTATCTGATAAATCATTTGCAAGTATCCTCTCCCATTCTGTAGGTTGCCTTTTCATTTTGTTGATTGTTTCCTTCACTGTGCAGAAGCTTTTTATCTTGATGAAGTCCAATAGTTCAGTTTTGCTTTCATTTTCCTTGCCTCTGGAGATGTGTCCAGTAAGAAGTTACTACAGCCAAGGTCAAAGAGGTCAGTGAAATCTTGCCATTTGCTCCTCTAGGATTTTGATGGTTTTCTGTCACAAATTTAGGTCTTTTATCCATTCTTTATTTTTGTATATGGTGTAAGAAAGTGGTCCAATTTCATTCTTATGCATGTTGTCATCCAGTTTTCCCAACACCATTTGTTGAAGAGGCCATCTTTTTTTCCATTGGATATTCTTTCCAGCTTTGTCAAAGATTAGTTCACCATACAGTTGTGGGTACGTTTCTGGGGTTTCTATTCCGTTCCATTGATCTATATGTCTGTTTTTGCACCAGTACCGCACTGTCTTGATGACTACAGCTTTGTAATATAGCTTGAGGTTCAAAATCATGATGCCTCCAATTTTTTGTTTTTCAGGATTGCTTTGGCTATTCAGGGTCTTTTGTGGTTCCATACATATTTCAGGATTGTTTGTTTTAGCTCTGCAAAAAATTTTGGTGGTATATTGATAAGGATTGCATTAAACATGTAGATTGCTTTGTGTAGTATAGACATTTTAATGTTTGTTCTTCCAACCTGTGAGTAGAAAATGCTTTTCCATTTCTTTGTGTCCTCTTTTTTTTTTTAATGTTTATTTATTTTGAGAGAGAGAAAGCATGTGCAGGAGGGGCAGAGAGAGGGGGAGAGAATCCTAAGCAGGGTCTGTGCAGTCAGCGCAGAGCCCAACTTGATTGCATGAACCATGAGATCATGACCTGAACTCAAATCAACAGTTGGGTGCTTAACTGACTGAGCCACCCAGGTGCCCCATATGTCCTCTTCAATTTCTTTTGTAAGTCTTCTATAGTTTCAGAGTATAGTTCTTTTACCTCTTTGGTTGGGTTTATTCTTTATTTTTATTTTTTAAATTTTTATTTAAATCCAAGTTACTTAACATATAGTATAATAATGATTTCAGTAATAGGATTTAATGATTCATTACTTACATATAAAACCCTGTGCTCATCCCAACAAGTGCCCTCCGTAATGCCCAACCCTCCCCCCACCCCCACCCAACACCCCTGTCAACAGCCCTCAGTTTGTTCTCTGTATTTAAGAGTCTCTCATGGTTTGTCTCGCTCTCTGTTTT